TAACTTTTTGATACACAATTGTCAAAACGATTCTCTATGAAATACAATGACAGCTATTCAAAATTAGCGCAGCGAGAGAACCTATCGCGGAAAAGCAATCAACAATAAAAGTTTGAGGAAATTTCGAGAGACGCAAGTATCGATGTTGTTCGGAATTGCTATAAGTAAATCGCGCCTGAAAGCGCGACGTGGAACACGCGAAGCGCGCGTGACGACTACGGTAATCGATTATCCTAAATCAACCGATCGATGGCGTAAGGTAGTCCGTCGATATCTACCACGTAGAAGTAATTATGTTTATCAGCCACTCTTTAAGGGCGGTGTTGTTTCGCAATTGTCGGAACATACGTGTGCGCTATCGATTGGCCAAAAATCACATGATTCGTCGTGTCGATCGCTGATAGGACGAAATCGGATGATCCTGCAAGCTTCTCGAAAAGCTCTCGAAATTCTCTGCGAATCGACCATAATCTTTGCTCATAGAAAGAATAGTGTGCTTTGTCGTTTTCTATCGCTCTTGTCGTATTTGTAAGTTCAGCTCGTGTCGTAATTTAGACTTGTCATTTCGTCTCGTAATAATGTTACGTTTTAATTATCGCGAGAGACTTTTCAGCGAAATATTTTGAATCGAACTCTTTGTTCATGTTCTCTTTCGCCATCTCGGGATTCAAATGCCTTCGGATTCGATAAGAATATTTACTGTGAGCATTCTCAAAGAACGAATTCTCAGTGACAAGTGCGCGTATCTCAGCTTGACGAAACAGCACGTAGTCATTTAAGTTCGATCAAGGTGCAAGAGCTTGCGACCATTCTTTCTCTCAGCACGCTGCGGATATTCTCCCATCATGTGATCACGCAATTCGTACGAATCATTCAAACCAGTGCGTGCAATCTACCTAGCGAACATCTGTTCTATCTTCTCAATATGTACACTACCGTCAGACTCTATATTCTACTACTACATTTCACTGTAAAAGCTGACTTATTAAATTAGTGTGATCTGTCTCAAGAATTCTCGTCATTCTATCACCCATCGGATCCTTAGTCGAGGGTCGTTCCAATGAACGGCGTCTCAATTCCGCACAGATATGCTTTTTTTTTAGAAAGAATTATTATATATATTTACATATTATTATTATAAACAAACTTTATTACAATATAAAATAAAATTTAAGTAAATAAATAAATTTCCACCCATTTTTTATATTGATTTATCACAATTAATTAATTTATGACTATATTTTGCAATTTCAATATCTCTATTATTTAATAATATATTATCACGCTTTCCACGTGTTTAATACGCATGCATAATACACTTAAATCAATGCACATGCAAAGTAAAAGATATCACTATTGTTTAGAGTGAGATGGTGTATATTTCTTTCTTTTTCGTAGGATTTAGCCAAAACATCGAGTCGTAGTCAGTCTCTGATTGTAGTGTCTCTATACTTTACTTCTGATGGAAATAGCATATTAAGTTTGATCCATACCAAAGTAGAATTAAGGCTACGGTCCATTTAGGACTACAAAAGGGGTATTTATTTGCGCAGTATTTTGTGCATCTACTGCTTTCTCATCTGCTTGTCGTAATCGAAATTTATCGAACGGATAACTGCGTGAATAACTGCACGGATCGTAGCCAATAGAAATTGAGCCGATTATTTGAATGATAAATAGAGACAATTTTATATATAAATTTATATTCAAATAATTAAATGTAATAAAACTTTTTT